GGGCCCTGGTGAACAAGTGCTCCGGTGCTTAGACTCCGCACTCTGGGGAGGCTCTACCAGGGGACTGATAGAGGTGCTGTCAGGCAGCCCGTTACAGTAGCCCCAGGGGAGCTTGTAAAATTCCAATGAATACCCCTTGGAGCCTTGATGTTTGCCAGTTGCTTAATGGTAGACTGAATCTCTGGCAATGAAATGGATACGTTCAGGTCAGCCAGCTGGACCACTATCAGTGTTGGCAGCTGTAAGGATGCCAGAAGGGACTTTGCCTTGGTTTAATCTATAGGTTCATCATAATAATAATAATAATAAAGCTGTTTATAGTAATCAATGAGAAGAGATGTTCTCTCTGAGGTGGATGACTTCAGAATCCCAGCTGAGTCTCACAAAGATGCAATGTGAGTAGATTTGTGGAGATCACGGCTAAGCCATGCGAGCATCTTGCCAGCATTATTACTAAATTTATGGTATTGAAGCGCTTGGTAAGAAGGTTTGATCCATTCCATTTACTCTGACAACATGTCGAACTGACGTTTTGCAGTTTGCCAGACATGCCTATTATCTGGGGAATAGATAGTGGCAATAGCAGCCTGAGCTCTGCAAAGGGCAGTACTGGCCTGGTGGAATTGGAACAAAGTGTTTTTTGAATTGGGCAGTGCAATGGATAATTTTCCCCCTAAGGATGGCTTTACCTGCCTCCCAAAAAAAAAATTGGTTTCTGAGCATGATCTGAATTAGAGGGCACATAGTCAGTCCATGACAAATAGACAGCATGGTGAAAGTTTCCATTATCTACCAGATATGAGGGGAAATGCTAAGGACTGGGCCCACCTAAAGGTTTAAAATTCTCCAGGGAAATATGAATGGGACTGTGGTCAGAAATTGCTATCTCAGAGATATAGGACCTGGTCACCAAAGGAAGTAGGGAAGAGGAACAAAAACAAAAAAATGTAATAATAGTCAATGCATGAAAAAAACATTTGTGCGGTGAGGAATAAAACGTTCCAGGCATCAGACATGTTCAAAGAGGATATCGTCCATGTCAAAGGGCTGGTAGAAAAAAGGTCCAAAAGGCAGGGTGGAAGACTAGATTTCCCCATATAACATGCAATGATTCAGGAGATTGCATCACCCAGGCAGCCAAGTCCTGGGGAAAAAAGGGGGTTTTCGGGGTATTGACTGGATAGATATTGGCAATAGCCAGTTCTCTAGAGGCCATCAGATGGAATGTGATCTTACCACCCATTTATATATGCATTGACTGAGCGAATGGTGAAGGGGAGAGATCTATGAAAGAGTATCACCACCCCTGCCATGCATTCCACAGTTGAGGAACCCACAACTTCTCCCACCCAAAGTTTTCACAAACGCTTAAGATCATCACCGGAAAGAGGTGGGTTTCTTGAAGGAGGGCCACATCTGCCCAGAGACATTGCAGGTGACAGAGAACCTTCATCCTTTTAGAGGGGGGAGCTCAGTCCTTTAACATTTCAGGATATTAACCTCACAACACAATATTGTAATCATAGATATAGTAGGAGTGGTGTGAACCTCTGGACAGAAAACCCAGACTTACAAGGGTAACTCTTGGACCCAGATCACAATAGAGCAATAAAAAAAACAGAAAAAAAACACAATGTTAAGCCAGGTTGTCTAGAAAAAGAAACAAGAACATAATATAACTAAGCCCCCCATAGGAGGCTAACAAACCACAGCCATAGGATAGAGGTCAGGAGCACGATTTTAAATGCAGATATGGCGGATCTCAGTGGGAATAATAAAGAAAAGGAAAAGTGAGCGCTCTCTAGGTAGCAGCTGTGGCACTAAAGGTAACCAATATAAAAACCTCAATAGTAATCAAATAAGTAAGTGCAACGCTTAAAATGATATATGAAATAGTCCCTTGTCTCTCCTCCTCCCATGCTTTCTCCAGAGCTTCCCCTTCCTCTGGAACTTTCTACCCCAATTTATCAGACTATCGCCTACTCTGTTCACTTTTAGGCGATCTCTGAAAACTGATCTCTTCAGGGAAGCCTATCCTGCCCTCAGCTAATACTGGAATCTTCTACTCTTCTGACCAGTCCATCCCCCACAGTTACTACCTTTTGTACCACTAGCCCCTCCCTCCTAGATTGTAAGCTCCTAGGATCAGGGCCTCCTTACCGTCTCGTATTGAACTGTATTGTTACTGTATTGTCTCCCGTTATATGGAAAAGCGCTGAGCAAACTGTTGGTGCCATAAATCCTGTATAATAATCATAATAATAAAATAAGTTAAATGCCAACTAAACGGTATTCGTCCATAAGTGACAATCTGTGCAGGTATAGGTGACATAGCAGCAATACTTAACTGCTGGTGCTCCAGAGTAGTGGGGTAAGAATACGCACTCACCAGATGCGTAATGTAAATACGCATTGAATCAATCAGTGGAGGTCCTATTTAGGAATCGGATATAAGCCAGGCCAAGGATAATCCTCTCTCTGGATAATGGTGGTGCCTCAGAAGCTGGTAAAAGAATCCAGTCAGCCAGTGGTCCCCTTTAAGGGATGGGTGAGTGTAGAAGCCTGTGAGACAAGAACTCCCTCCTCTGGATACTGTGGTGGGCTGGATCAGGTGGGCTCTATAAATTAAAGGGTTAAACAGTAAAGGTTACTCTATGACCATCAATGTACAACCAACAGGACTGGATGTAGCATTATCCACAAAAAAGACTCAGTGGGAGCTGATGTGCTTCACATCTTCCTCATGCGGCGCAGATACTGGAAGTCGGCCAATATGTATTTCAATGTGGGGGATTTCCTACTTTTTTTTTTTTTTATTTTTAAGGGAATGAATAGGGTTATATGATAACATAATTGGGATTTAGAAATACATCTTCTTGTATCGTTGTCATCCCTTTCCTTTTGAGTTGTTGTACGCGTTTTCTTTTAATGTTCTTCTTTGTCTTTTTGAGTGTTTTTTTTTGTATCGTATTTAAAATGAATAAAAATAAAATAAAAAGCTCCCTCACTGTCGAATCTCTTACAATCAATGGCATCCTTCATGTTTTCCTTCAGGTTAGAATGATCCTTTTCTTCATGGTAATGATCTTTGTATTATATCTGGAGGATACTGACTGGTCTTGTTATGGGCTACACACAGTAACAGAATTTTATGACCACACCAATCTTAAAATTCTACAAGATCTACAAAAGGGGAACAAATTTTCATTGTCGATACTCTGTTTAGTATTCACCAGTTTCTGTTGAAATCACCTCCCACCCTTTTGCAATTACACACCAGCATTTGGCAATTTTATAACAACCCACTTAAATCTACCAAAGGAATTACCTTTTTTTTTTTTACTCCCTTTTCCAAAATACGTTATCTTTCCATAAAACTGACCCTATCCTGGCGTGGGAGGTCGATCTCCAAAACCTGTACACTCGGACACAATGGTTATACACATTTAAATATTCCCATGCTATATCTCACCGTGTTAACTACTGGGAACTCACACAAAAATAATATCCAGATGGTACCTCCCTCCATACCGAATAGCCCATTATACATCGGGAGGTTCTCCTTTGTGTTGGAGAGGCTGTGGCCAAGTAGGCAATCTCTTACATATCTTCTGGTCATGCAAGAATCTTTGTAGCTTCCGGTGAGGTGGTTCTGACTCCTCTCCAATGTCACAGGAATACTGACTAGGCCTGCACCAGATCTAGCAATCTTACATTTTAGGACCCATGTACACGGGACGTTTCTGAACGATGGAAACTGACTGCTGGAAAATGTAGGTAAAAAAAGTCTGTTTAGCCGCGCTTGCATAACGTGTCTGTAACGGAAGCGTAGGCAGGACAGAGCACATGAAGAAGGTGGGGAACACACAAAACTTTATTGAAGCAACAAATTGACAGACACTCAATAGGGAAATGGCAGGGAGGGTGATGTGTGCGCAAACCAGGGACCATTCCAGGCACAGGGGGTCTTCAGCGACAGGCAGGCAATCTCCCCCCCTAGGCTTGGGGCCTCAGCCGAGCTCCCTCCGTGACTGGACAGCGGATTGGAGACTCGAGCAACAGGTGGCAACCTACCACTGGGCAGGGGCCTCGGGCAACAGGTGGCAACCTACCACTGGGCAGGGGCCTCGGGCAACAGACGACAACCTACCACTGGGCAGGGGCCTCGGGCAACAGACAGCAACCTACCACTGGGCAGGGGCCTCGGGCAACAGGCAGCAACCTACCACTGGGCAGGGGCCTCGGGCAACAGGCGGCAACCTACCACTGGCAGGGGGCCTCGGGCAACAGGCGGCAACCTACCACTGGGCAGGGGCCTTGGGCAACAGGCAGCAACCTACCACTGGGCAGGGGCCTCGGGCAACAGGCGGCAACCTACCACTAGGCAGGGGCTCGGGCAACAGACGGCAACCTACCCCTGGGCAGGGCTCGGGCAACAGGTGGCAACCTACCCCTGGGCAGGGCTCGGGCAACAGGCGGCAACCTACCACTGAGCAGGGGCCTCGGGCAACAGGCAGCAATCTACCCCTGGACAGGGGCTCGGGCAACAGACGGCAACCTACCACTGGCAGGGGCCTCGGGCAACAGGCGGCAACCTACCACTGGGCAGGGGCCTCGGGCAACAGGTGGCAACCTACCACTGGGCAGGGGCCTCGGGGACTCAACGGGACTCTAGCTGTGGAGACTGGCCACAGCACAGCTTCCACCCAGCTTTCTAGGGTCATTGGGTTCACGGGGACTCAACGGGTAGCGATGGCTCAAGCACTCAGGGGCACCACAGGTAGCTATACTCCGGGCATGCCATCAGGACACGGGTGGTCAGTGCACTAACAGCGGGGCAGTTTGGAACACGGGTGGTCAGTGCACACAGCGGGGACAGTTCAGAACACGGGTGGTCGGTGCACACAGCGGGGACAGTTCAGAACACAGGTGGTCAGTGCACACAACAGGAATAGTTCAGGACACGGGGGTCAGTGCGCACAACAGGAACAGTTCAGGACACGGGTGGTCAGTGCACACATCGGGGACAGTTCAGGACACGGGTGGTCAGTGCACACAGCGGGGACAGTTCAGGACACGGGTGGTCGGTGCACACAGCGGGGACAGTTCAGGACACAGGTGGCCAGTGTGCACAACAGGGACAGTTCAGGACACAGGTGGTCGGTGCACACAGCGGGGCCAGTTCAGGACACAGGTGGTCAGTGCACACAGCGCGGACAATTCAGGCCACAGGTGGCCAGTGCGCACAACAGGGACAGTTCAGGACACAGGTGGTTAGTGCACACAACAGGAACAGTTCAGGACATGAGTGGTCGGTGCACACAGCGGGGACAGTTCAGGACACGGGTGGTCGGTGCACACAGCGGGGACAGTTCAGGACACTCACGGTAAGCAGCTTGCGGACCCTCAGCGGCAGGCGGCTCCAGACAGGGACGACCAGCGGTCAGTGTTCCAGGGACAACCAGCGATCAGCAGACACCAGCAGCTCCCAGGGCACTCAGCAGCAGACAGCCTCCAGGGACACGCAGCCACGGATAGTGTGCAGGGTCCCTCAGCAGCAGCTCCCAGGGCACTCAGCAGCAGACAGCTTCCAGGGACACGCAGCCACGGATAGTGTGCAGGGTCCCTCAGCAGCAGCTCCCAGGGCACTCAGCAGCAGACAGGGTGCAAGGGTGCCCAGTAGACAGGCTTACAGACTGGCAGGGTCTCAGCTGTGGGGTCGACCTTTGAGGAGAAGGCTCATGCAGAGCTGTGGAGATTTCCAACTCCGAGGTATTGCAGAGGGCTACAGTCCTGACCTTTTGGGGGTCTGCAGAGTGCGCAGGGGGGATGGCTGGGGAGGCTCAGTCCCCCTCACCCGAGCCTCCCCAACATCTTTCTGGGAGCAAGATGATTCTTGCCGCATGGCCAGGAACAAAAGGGAAGGGCTGCTTCCTGTGTGGGTCTCTTGAAGATCATGTGGGACGCGGCTAGATTGCCTCGGCAACGGCTGGACCAGCCCTGTCCATGGAAGCCCCACAGACCTTCTAATTTACAAGGGGGAAGGGAGGGGTGGAGGGATATGGCAGGGGATGGGAGAGGCACTGGCAGTCCGTGACAGTGTCTATGCGCATTTGCGTTTAGAAGCGTTTTTTAAAAATAAGCACAGGCAAACCTCCCAAATGCCCAGAATGCACTGAAAAGTGGTAAATTATTAACTATTTCAGACTTTCAGAGAAATACAGAGAGTAGAAGCAGAGAGAGCAGTATGTGTTGAGATTAGCTTAGGTGTGAGTTTTTTCATGAACAATGCATGCAAAGAGTTTTCAAGGTACTCAAATGGACAAAACACTGGACACAGGATGTTCCTACCAAGCTTGTCACACATGGTAATGATCAATTCACACCTCAGACCTCTCCCACCCTTGGAAACAAAAGGTATGTTAATGACCATTCACACCTCAGACCTCTCCCACCCTTGGAAACAAAAGATATGTTAATGACCATTCACACCTCAGACCTCTCCCACCCTTGGAAACAACATTAACATTTCTTTTGTTCCCAAGGGTGGGAAAGGTGTCTGGTGGAAGGAGTCATTAGGGTCACCTGGCAGGGGGTCTTCAGGAGGAATTTGAGGTGTGAATGGTCATTAACATATCTTTTGTTTCCAAGGGGGGGAGAGGTCTGAGGTGTGAATGATCATTAACATATCTTTTGTTTCCAAGGGTGGGAGAGGTCTGAGGTGTGAATGGTCATTAACATATCTTTTGTTTCCAAGGGTGGAGAGGTCTGAGGTGTGAATTGATCATTACCATGTGTGACAAGCTTGGTAGGAACATCCTGTGTCCAGTGTTTTGTCCATTTGAGTACCTTGAAAACTCTTTGCATGCATTGTTCATGAAAAAAGGCGCTGGGCACCATTGGGAACTGGAAGAGTAAAAAAAAAAAAAATTTCAAACGCAAATGCTTATAAACACGATTTGCCACGTTTACAAGCGGTTTGCGTTTGAAACGCTGATAAAAGCGACGTCTGAACGCAAGTTTGTCGTGTTCAAAAAAACGACTGTAAACTCAACTGCCTGTAAACGACTGTAAAGGACGATGTGTACACGGACACATAGGAGAATATTAGGGGGAGTTCAGGGGCTGCTGAAAAAAAAATGCTGAACAGCTCCTGAACGTGAGTTTATCAGCTGCAGTGTACATGAGCCCTAAGAATTGATGACTTCCCTGTCGTGTTTCGCAAAGTAATTACCTGTATACTACTAGCTGCTCATTTGACTATAACAAGTCATTGGAGGGGAGACAAGGCGCCCAATTTGTTCGAAGTAATCTCTATTACTCAATGTATCTATTCTTTTGAGAGACTGTTAGCATGCAGGTCAGACAATATACAATCCTTTGACAATGTTTGGAAATGTTGGAAAGGTTGGTATTTGAAGGATAGAATCATAGATACACCCAGGTCCAGCCTTAATGGTTGAAACATCATTTTGTTACATTGTTGGATAGTTTATTCTATTTCCATCTATTGATGTATGGTCATCTGTACGCCCTGCGAGGATACTCTTTTCTTTTCTTTTTCTTTCCTATATATTTACTTTATTTTCTATATGTCTCATCTGTTACAGGGGGTTATATTTTTCTACACTTGAAAACTTTAATAAACATTATTGAAAATGATTTTGTGTTGTAGAGTTTGTGAACAGACACCATAGAAGATGAAGTGTTTCAACTGCGGTCATAAATCAAAAGAAAAACAGGCCAAATTCTGTTGTAATTGTGGGCAGAAACTGCACCCCCCCCATTCCAGGCTCAGTAAATCCAGGTAGGTGAGGCTTCTGTTATTAATATCTCATGTACAATAGATGCAGCATATGCTTCACATCCGGATGGCGAAGTCCCTATTTCCAGGTGTGATAAGTATTTAAAATATGTTAAACGTTATTCTTACCAAAACGTGGTGTTCCCTAAAATTCTTGCATATGAAATTCCAACACCAAAAACCACCAACCCAATTTTCTAGAGGTCAATAAGAAATTTCTTCTAGGACCTTCCAATATGATGTTGGCTTTCATAATGACACAATAAGCCCAGATTGGGGGGAAAAAGACATTTAACTTACTGACGTGTTGGGGGGAGGGGGGTAACATACAAAGTCCATGTGGCTCGACTAAGACATTTACTCATATAAAGCGTTGCTGTCACTGGCCAGTTGGCAGTCGTATAGGAAAGGCTGAGAGCAGAAACTTTCTATAAAAATAATAGTGGTGGAGTAGACAGAAACTGAAGCAGCCAATCAACTTCTGTCTCTCATTTTCAAAGCTTAACTGAAGTTAGCCGATTGGTTGCCATGCACAGCTGCTTCACTTTTGATAAGTTGCACCCATGCTGTTTATTTGCCAAAAATATGTGACTATTACATTTGTTCAAAATGCTGTCAATGTCTTTTCAGATGTTCAGTATGAAACTCTTACTTCTGGAGGTGGAGAGCAAACACCGCCTGTTTCCAGATCAGGAATCGAGTGCTGATACTGCCAAACCCAGTGGCACCAATTACACATCAAACAAAAGTGGAAATGAACCTCGCTCACAGAAAGGTACCGGCCCGCTGGTTGACAATAGAAAGGTAAACAATGTGTGTTTCTCTTTGTCCTTATCAATGTAATGGATATGATTTCTGAACTCCTACTTAAGATTTGGTGATTGTTAAATGGCAACTTTCTACTCAAATACCAAGACTTATTAAACAATATGGAAACCCAACCTTTCCTACTCCAGATATGTGCCGGCTGCACCATGTACTTGTGAAATGTCTCCTGTTCCCTTTGTATTGCTTCCTTTGTGCCAGTCCCTCTACTTTCCTATCCAGATATTATTATTATTATTATTATTATTATACAGGACTTGTATAGCGCCAACAGTTTGCTCAGCACTTTACAGTTGCAAGAATAAGTATGTGAAACCCCTTGGGATTACGTGGAGTTTTGCATGAATTGGGCATAAAATGTGCTCTGAACGTCATCTAATTCGCAACAATAGAAGAACACAGTCTGCTGAACATAATACTACACAAACATTAGATGTTGCCATGGTTTAATTGTGCACATAACATGTAAACATTCACAGTTCAGGGAGGAAAAAGTATGTGAACCTTTGGACTTAATAACTGGTTGACCCTCCTTTGGCAGCAATAACCTCAACCAAACGTTTCCTGTAGTTGCAGATCAGACCTGCACAACGATCTGGAGTCATTTTGGACCACTCCTCTTCACAAAACTGTTTCAGTGTAGCAATATTCTTGGGATGTCTGGTGTGAATCGCTCTCTTAAGGTCATGCCACAGCATTTCAATGGGGTTGAGGTCAGGACTCTGACTGGGCCACTCCAGAAGGCGTATTCTGTGCTGTTGCAGCCATTGTTTTGTTGAATGACTTGTATGCTTTGGGTCATTGTCCTGTTGCATCACCCATCCTCTGCGCGGAGCTTCAGTTGGCGGACAGATGGTCATACGTTTTCCTGCAGAATGTCTTGAAAAACTCTGGAATTCATTTTCCCATCAATGACAACAATCCGTCCAGGCCCTGAGGCAGCAAAGCAAACCCAAACCATGATGCTCCCTCCGCCATGTTTCACAGTGGGGATGAGGTTTTGATGTTGGTGTGCTGTGCCTTTTTTTTCTCCACACATAGTGTTGTGTGTTCTTCCCAAACAACTCATTCTTGGTTTCATCTGTCCACAGTATATTCTGCCAGTAGTGCTGTGGAACATCCAGGTGCTCTTTTGCAAACTTCAAACGTGCTGCAATCTTCTTTTTGGACAGCAATGGCTTCCTCCGTGGTGTCCTCCCATGTACTCCATTCTTGTTTCATGTTTTCCTTATTGTAGATGTGTCAACAAAAATGTTAGCATGTGCCAGAGATTTCTGTAGGTCTTTAGCTGACACTCTGGGATTCTTCTTTACCTCATGCAGCATTCTGCGCTGTGCTCTTGCAGTCATTTTTACAGGATGACCACGCCTAGGGAGAGTAGCAACAGTGCTAAACTTTCTCCATTTGTAGACAGTCTGTCTTACCATGAACACATGAACATCAAGGCTTTTGGAGATACGTTTGTAACCCTTTCCAGCTTCATGCAAGTCAACAATTCTTGATCGTAGGTCTTCTGAGAGCTCTTTTCTGCGTGGCTGTGGTACACGTTAGACAGTGCTTCTTGAAACCAGTAAACCCAAAACAGGTGTGTGTTTTTTTAAGGGCAGGACAGCTGTCAGCAACACATCCAATATCATCACACTGATTGGAGTCAAGGTTGGCTCACTCCTGGCTCCAATTAGCTCTGGGAGAAGTCATTAAGCTAGGGCCTCACATACTTTTTCCTCCCTGCACTGTGAATGTTTACATGTTATGTGCAATTAAACCATGGCAACATCTAATGTTTGTGTAGTATTATGTTTCAGCAGACTGTGTTCTTCTATTGTTGTGACTTGGATGACGTTCAGAGCACATTTTATGCCCAATTCATGCAAAACTCCACGTAATCCCAAGGGGTTCACATACTTTTTCTTGCAACTGTACATTATGCAGGGAGACAGTACAGTAAAAATACAGTTCACCAATACAAGAGGGGCTCGAGGGCTCTGCTCCTTGGAGCTTACAATCTAAGAGGGAGGGGATAGTGGTTCAAGAGGTGTTGGGGGAGGGAGTGGTAGGTAGAGTAGGGGATTCGAGTATTAG